GCCATGCCACTGACTCCACTCCCTCATTAGCCCCTCTAAAATAACTCTAAAGGAAGAAAAGAAGGCGAAGACCTCACCATGACAAGTGGGAGGACCAGCAACGAGACAAAATGAGACAAGCAAAACTATTTAGCTTCGAGAAGGGGATAGCTCCCAAGAAACCATTCAGCCAGCTAAAAAGCATGGAGCTTCGCGCCACCAATGGGAAGCTTTATGGCTACCAGCTCCGGGCACCACACAGGTTCAGGTGCCCCTGGCAGCTCTGAAAATGGGATTTGGGGGGTTCACAAAAGGATCAGCTGAAGGACTTTACAATTGTAAGCTAAACCCACAGGTCCCCTCCCAACCCTGATGGAAGGCAGGGCTTTACCCTGTGGAGAGGACAACAAACAGGGCACACTGCACACAAGAGGGCCACTCTGAGGACCATGTAATGATGGCCGAGGAACCCTGTAGCCCTCTCCCCAGCCAGCTCCCATGGCTCGGAGATGGCTAGGTGGTGTCTCTCTCAAGCCCCCTCCCTGGACCTACTCCCAGTCTTCAGAGACAGGGGTGTCTGCCCACCAGGCCTCCAGTCATCTGTCCCTGCTGCCCCTAAACTCCCGACTCTGTCACCTTTCTCTTCGCTAATTTCATGCCAATTAAATTGGGCCTCAGCCCAGGCAGAGTCTTAAACACACACTCACTGAAATCCAATTAACCTTCGATAAAGGTTCCACAATCAATAGTGTTTCTGTGGCTTAAGGAGGCTCCATCCAGCCTGGAAAAGCAGACTCCTGCACGACCTTTACTTTTAATGAGATCAATGACAGTCACTGTCACCAGCTCTTAAAGTGATTGGCAAATATGATCACCAGGTCAGGCCCTCGGTAATATCTGCTTCTGGGCTGAGACACAAACAAATGAGGGCCCTTGCAGGCTGCCATCTCCCAAGGCCCATACTCCTCCACAGGTGAGCACACCTGCCAGTCACCTTGCGCCTGGAGGTACACATAGCAGGTGAGCTCTGATGGCTCACCTGGGTGGCCTGGGTCCCTGGCTTCATAATGGGGTGAGGGGTTGCAGGGTGGGGGGGTCCTGAGCTTCTGAGAGTGAGCAACCTGGAGAGTCTGTTACAGTGCAGATCCTTCAACACTCTACAATCCTTCCCACCCCAGATTCTGACTGGTAAGTTAGGGTAATACCAAGGAATCTGCACTGTTGAATAAGCTCTCCTGGTGCTTCTGAAATAGACGGTTCATGAAGCAGTCCAGCACCCACAGAAGTAAAGAATCACTGTTCTGGAAAATATTTGAGTAGGAAGGACCTTTAGTTAAGAGTCCAGCTAGTCCAACACCTTCAATAAGAAACCAAGGACTAGAGAGGAGATACAATTTGCCTAAGGCCACAAAGCAGGGCACTGCAAGGCTGGAGCCTGAACCAACATCTCTTGCCTCCTAATCTGGTATTTCCTCCTCTGAGCCTATCAGGGACTGGCTCGTTAGACTGGTCTCCAGGTCCCCACAAGCTGGGATGCTGCAGTGAGTCAGTCTCTTCAAAGTGGAGTGGTGTTGACTGAACAAGAAGTCACAGAGCTCTGGAGCCCGGAGAGAGGTTTCCAGAGCCATGTTCCAGCAAAGTCATAGTTCACAGCAGCCAAGACACTACCAGCCACAGTACCACCAGGAAGTGGAGTAAGATTTTTGCCTCTTGCTACTCCTGTATGTCGCTTCTACTTCTCGCCACAAGGAAGGCTGTCCTCAGGAGGGACAGTCACTTCAGAACTGGCTTGCTGAATTAACTGTGCCTATGGAACCTCTGAGGTCCATCTAAGCCTTTCTGTAATGTGCATTCTTCCATCCTCAGCACCATTAGTCTTCTCTAAGACCTGGGGCTTTGATGCCGGTTGCTAAGAGACATGATAGATTTACTTTTAGCCTATTCCTGCTCCAGTCCCACCATTACTGATGGTCAGCAACAGCACAGTGGAGCACATGGCCCATGGCCCTGCCTGAGGCTGCTGTAGAAGTCAGTATTTAATGACATCATCACTGAATACCCAAGTCATGCACAGCCTAGAAGCTGGGACAGGGCATTAAGAAATTAAGACAGTGCTTTATTGTAAGGGTAGACCTACACACCAGTGGAACAGAAGAGACATTCCACAAAAGGCCCATATCTGATTGATGCCAAAGATGCCAGAACCAACACTGTAGGATTCCATTTATATGATGTTCAGTAATGGCTGGAAGCAGTTTATGGTAAAAGAAGTTAGAATAGAAGTGACTGTGGTGGCAGTGGGGACGATGACTGGAAGTGGGCAAGAGGAGCTTGCCAGAAGTGGTTTGCACCTTTACCTGGATGGTGACTACATGGTACGTCTACATGAAGATTTACCAAACGTGCCCTTAAGATTGGTGGCCTTAGGTACATTACCTTCTCTCTGTGAGTCTCTGACCCCTCATCTGCACAATGGAGACCACAGCCCTCTCTCTGAAGGCTATGTGCATGGAGGGCCTGGTGCAGGGGCTCAGGCAGTAGATGAGGTTAATGGTAAAGGAGGAGACACAACAGGGCCACCAACAACAATGAAAACAACAACGGTCCAGCTGCCATCTGGCAAGGCTTCTCAGTCAGTGCTGCGCCTCCTTTGCATAGTTACTGATGTGGCTGTCAACCAGCTGGCTCCAGGTCCCACTGCAGCCCGAGGCTGACCTCTGGGAGGGCGATGGAGAAGGTGGAGGGACAAGGACTTTGGAGTCATGTGAACTTGAGCTCAACCCTGCTCCTTTCCCGGCTGGTTGTGTACTACTGAGCCTCTCTGAGCTTGAGCTTTCCCACTTAGAAATGTGTTATTAATAATGGCAGGAACGAATAGAGCTTATGTGTCTCACAACCCTGGCACATGCTAGGGTTCCGGCAGGTCTCCTCTCTATGTCCACAGAAAACAACCTACACTCTTGCCCAGCCTCTCAGAGGCCAACCCAGAGGCGGAGGCTGCCTTCTCCCCCACTTCACTGACTTACGGATGCTGACCAAGGCCTGTCTCCCCAGATGCTGGCTTTGTCTGCAAGGTACAGCTAGAGGGTGGTGGCAGGAGCAGAGCAGCCCTGCCTCTGACTATGCTGCCGGTGTCCACTGCCATGAGCAACTCATTCAGCCACGAGCAAGCAATACCACAGCACATCTCTCCACCTAAGCATTCTTCTTGGAAAATTAAAGCTGCCCTCTGATTAAACACCACTAGGGCCTTGGCTCACTGGGTCCAGAGAGATGAACAGACTTGGGGCGGTCGGAATGCACTTCCCACCACAGTCAGTGTAAGGAAATGCCAATAAACGAGCAGGGCCAAGGCCTCCGGGTCTCTCCTGCTGAGCAGGCAGAGCCCTTGCTCCCCTTGAAGAAAGTGACCACCCATCCCTCCATGCACCATATATATATATATATATATTCTCTGTCTCTCTCCTTCTCTCCTTCTCCCCCTCTCCCCCTTCTCCCTCCCCCTCCCCCTCTCTCCTCCCTAACTCTGAAGTGAAAGCTGAATTACTCTTCATCTCATCCTGTCCCTCCAAGAAGCAGAACTCATCAAAGAAAGCCAGGGGTGGGGTGACCTCTGTGTCCTGGAAGCCACCCTTCAAATAGGTTCTTGAAGCTCCATGTCCCCACAGTGGGGTAAAACAGCTTTACTTGAAGGCCCAAGCCAACCGCAGTCACCCAGGCCTATTCTTGCAGTTGCTCAACACACTCTGTGGCAGCCCCTCCTCTCATGGTCTTAGGGGAACTTCAGACTCAGGAAGGCCTGGGTTCCAATCAATGGCAAACTAGTTTCCCTCTCTAAGTCTCTAGATTCTTCATCTGCAAAACAGGGACAGTAAGACCTCCCTCCTAGGTTTACGATGGAGCTTAACATAGGAAGTTAGGCAAACAAAAACACTAATGATAAAAGGAGACAAGCAAAGAACAGGAGCCAACAATAATAATAATGAAGAGAGTAACAAATCCTGCTACCCCTCTGCAATGCCAGCTACACGCTAGGCACTGTGCTCAGCGAGGTGCATGACTAACTCATGTAGTCATCATATCCCCTCAAAGGAATATACCATTATGGTCCCCAGTTATAGAGCCATACAGCCACCAGGAGGCCTTACAACACCCACACTCCCCGAAATGTCCCTGGTTTTCTCCCCTGGGCCATCTCCCCACTGGGAACCTGTGCACATCCACATGTGTCACCTGGATAGGTAAGAGCGTTGGCCTCTGGTGGGTCTGGGCCCTTTCATGCCTTCCTACCCCAAGGAGACCATGTCACTGCTGTGATCCTTCACATCCGAATTCCCCAGTGACTCCCCAAAACCTCTAGGGTCACACAGAAAGCCTCTAGCATCTGCATCTCTAGCTTACCCCAGGGAAGCTGCCCCAGCCCTTACCTTCCCTTCCTCTGCCTAGGATGGGGCTGATCCAGCACGAGCTCCAGGATTGGTCTGGCTCCCCTCTGAACCCCACACCCAGCCCCACAAGGACTACAACAATGTAAGTATTGTAGGCAAATACCCCCCACTCCATGGTGAGCAAGAAGCAGAAGGTAAGGTACAAGGACCAAAGGGACAGAGCAAGAGATACAAGCCCCACATTTTCCCTTACTCTGCCAAGCAGACCCCATTGGCTACTGGGGTCCTCCCCACTGCCTGGTACCTGTGTCCTGGGCAGTGGCAGTGGGAGGGGAGAGCAGAGGGTTAGGGCCCAGTGACTTGGCCCCACTATGCCTGTGGCTTCTCAGCTATGTGGGACAAAGACAGGCAATGGCTCAGATGAGACAAAGATAGGCAATGGCTCAGCCGGGCAGGAGCGGCTGGGAGGACTGTGTCCCCATCCCTACTGTGTGTGGCCAGCTGGATGAGGTGATCTGGAAGGTCACGTCTGTGCTCCGTCATTTTTCAGACAATGAGTAGTGGGGCCAGACCCCAAGGCCTCCCCTGGACAATCCCACATCCTGCACACACAGAGCAGTACCCCAGCCTCACCTCATCCACGTTGATCTTGTTCCTCTCCATATAGTCCCTGTCGTTGACCTGCCCACCCTCCACAAACTCCATCAGCAGCACCCGCTTGGTGGACAGCTCCCAGTAGATCTGGGGGACCTGGAAGGGGAAGGAAGGGTCGCTCATATCAGGACAGGCTGGAGGCCAGGGGCCAACGCACAGCAATGCAGGCCAGACAACAGCAGGCAGGCTCTGCTTCCCCGCAGGGAACTCAAAGGAATCAGGCCCAGAGAGAAAGGTCCACGCCCCACCTGTCCACTTCTGTGAAGACCCCTCCTGCCTGGGGCTAGAAAGCGGCCTCCCCACCCAATGAATGCCTTCCACACTGGGTCTTCAGAGGGAAATATGAAGTGGCTTGTCCCGGGCACTGGGGTTCAGAACCATCCCCTCTCCCACCCCCACCAGGCCACTCCAGGCTCAGAAACACCCTCCCCCACCACCACAGCTTTCACCAGGTGATAGCTGTGGTACAGCTAGGAGTAACAGATGGGGCTATACCAGATGCTAAGTTCTGTCTCTCCTGCCAGCTTCCTACAAGCCTTATGTAGACACAACGCTGGATCTCAACCTAATGTCTACTCCCAATCCTCCTCATCATCGGAGACGAAAAAGAATGTTCTCCCTACTGGCCTTACAGTAAGTGTGGTCATGTGAGTCCCCTCTGGCCTATCCAATCTAAGCAGAAGTTTGCTAGGCAACTCTGAGAAAGTCTTTATTTTCTTGATTAGAAAGGGATTTTGGCACAGTACTCTTCTTCCTCTTCCTGCCTTAAAAGTGAATGCAATTTCTGGAGCTGCAGCAGCCATCGTTCAACCACAAAGATGAATCCAAGAAAATCAGAGATGACAGCTGTGATACTATCAAACTACTAAAATGGTATCTACAGGAAACTGCTACAAACCTTGCTGCTATGTGAGGAAAATAAATCTTTTTTTGTTCAAGATGCTATAAATGGGGTTTTTAGTTGTCTGCAAACAACAGCAATACTAACTAATAAACTCTCTAACTCCCTCTGACTCTGAGAACATGGAAAGCCAACAAGAGAACAGGCCCCCAGGAGAAGGCAAGAGGTCTGAATATATTGAGGGCTGTCATGATGCCACTTGAGGGGGTGACAGCCGTCAGGACCACTGTAGCCAGGCAGCTTCCCACATGTGGTTTCCTCAAAATTTTGATGGGCATTTTTCTCTTACAAATAAAAAACAAGACCAGCTAATTCAAACATTTTGGAGAAGATCTCTCCTTGCCCTAGCTTCCCCAAACTCTCCTAGCAACAAGATCGTGGCTCTCAATCCAGAAACCTACTTTCTGTCCCTAATGCTGATGGAAACGGCTGCACTCAGCTCATCACTTAACTCCTTATGCCTCAGTCTCCCCACAGGCAAGCAGCACTGTTTCTGCTCCCCTCAGCAAGGGTCCCTGAGGGTAAGCGGGGCCCCCACACATAAGCGAAGCCCTCTGGTTAGAACCATGGCTCCAACTGATATCAAGGCGTCCTCTTGCTTTGCCACTTCTTTGGAGCTTTGCCATTTGCAAATCTGAGCCAACAGAGAAATCTGTGACTGTCTGTTCCTTTTAACTTAAAATGTAGGCTTGCTTGACATTTTTCAAAAAGCACCTTTGTATAGGGCCTGGTGGTGCATGCTTATAATCCCAGCTACTCAGGAGACTGAGGCAGGAAGATGTAAAGTTTGAGGCCAGCCTGGACAACTTAGAGAGAACTTGTCTCAAAACAAAATAAAAAGGGCTGGGATTGTAGCTCAGTGGTAAATCACTTGCCTAGCATGCGTGAGGCCTTGGGTTTGATCCCCAGTACTGCAAAATAAACAAAAAAGGGTACAAATTCATTTATTATTTTTGTTCATGGTTTCTAAGTGTGAGGGATGTCATTTTGAGATCATTTCTTCCATCTGTTTAGAAAACTAAGCATGGTGGTGGGCCTGGGGCTTTGGAGACAGGAGGTTACACTACTAGCAGGGTCCCTGGGGCCACATGGAGGACACCAGGATAGCTATCACGGAAGGAGGAGCCAAGGCAGCAGTGCCTGGGGCTGGCCAGGCAGGGCCGGATGCAAGGGCGCCCCCCTCCATCTCTGCTCCCTCTGGTGTGACCAGTGCATCCTGACCATTGAATGTGCCCTTTGCGCCTGCTGCTCAGGTCTGAAATGACAGAAATACCAAACCTGGGCAATGGAGGGGCTCGTTGTGGGAGTGCAGGGAGGGCCACAGACAGATACAGCATGACTATGACTATGAAATGCCCAGTTGCTCCGCACTCAGTCAGGAAGGTGACTTGCCCTGCAAATCATCAAGCAGGCAAGAGGGTTTGGAGCGTGGTGAAGTTCACACCACGCATCACACAGGCCGCACCTTCATCCCCCCTACTCTACTTCTTCCATCAAGGAATGGGAGGTTCAAAGAGGAAAACTGAACTCCCTACCGCCAAGAAACCACCCCAAATCCCTGGGAGGCAAAGTCACACCTGGCCAAGGACCATGGGTCTGTCTGCCTGCCTGCCACAAAGCAGGGGTTCCACCTGTGGGCTCCCACACTGAGGCCAACGTTGACTCTGAGGAATAGGCAAGATTCTGGAAAGTTCTACCCAAGACTCTGGGAGGCTTCTACCTCAGTGTGGCCTGACCTTACGCTGCTATTTTGTTCCTGCGCTCTGGCTTTTCCTCCTGCAGCCACAGCCCAGCGAGGCACAGTACAGACCCATAGTCAGACTGCTGGGTGGGGCCACGATCCTGCCTCCTTCAAGCTGTGTGACTATGGGTAAGTTTTATAGCCTCTCTAAGCCAGTTTTATAACTACTTCCTATTAGCAGAAGCAGCATACTTGACACAGTACTTAGCAACTGCCAAACAAACATCAGCTGCCCTCATGACTGCCACACAGTGAATCACGGGTATTCTGAGCCACACCAGGGCTGATGGTGTCACAGATGATCTACCATAATTCATATTTCCCAAGATGCATCACAAAGGTACAGGACCATGGGGATTTGAAGCACAGGCTCCAAGCCAGGGTGCCTCCCTTCAAAGTTTGTTTCTGCCCCTTACCAGAATGCTGTGTAACCCTGGATAAATGATTTGATCTCTCTGGGTCTCAGTTTCCCCATGAAGATATGAAGTTAAAAATAGCACCACCAAGCAAGGCACAGTGGCACATGCCTATAATGCCAGTACTCTGGGAGGCTGAGGCAGGAGGATTGCAAGTTCAAGCCCAACTTGGGCATTTTAGCATCTTAGCAAGACTATCTCAAAATAAAACACGAAAAATGGCCAAAGATGTAGCTCAATATGAAGGCCCTGGGTGCAATCCCTACTCCTTGGAGGAGTGGGGTGGGAAGGCAGCTCCCTTGTGGGGCTGTTAAAAGGATTAAAGAGTAAATATATGTAAAGCATTTTAAAAGTATCTAACACAGTAAAAGCACATCAAAATGTTACCTATTAATTATACATGAATAGTTGTAAATCTTCGTGATTCTAGGAAGCTATGATGCTTCTTCAAAAGCATAACATCCCTCAGAGTTTGTCGACAGTTTCTGCAGAGTCCCAGGCTCCTCACCGCACAGGAAAAAACCCCGTAGCAACTCCACCACAATGCGGCCCACTCCCATCCCCACCTCCGCTCACCAACACACACTCATCTCCGCCAGGCCCACAACCAGAGCTTAGAGGCTCCTCCCTTCCCAACCTGGCCCCAGCTGTCTTCTTGACCATTCAGCCTGGCTACCCCCTACCTCCCCCAGTCTCTTGCACACCTAATTTGCATTCAGTGCTTGTCTGGGACACAGAGATTTATAGCATAGGGCTGAGGTTATTAAACCTCACAGAAGCACTAGAAGATACCTCACATACTGAGAGGTAAACTCTTTGCTGAGGCTTAATTACGCACAGATGTTGTGATGGGGTGCCAGCGTGCAAAAGCAATCTATCTCCAGTTTTAAGAGCTGAACTGAGTTCACAGCACAAAATCACTTCCTGCTTGTGATGTGTTTAGGCAAAATTAATTACTCAGGAGCCTTCATTCCACCATTGTCTGAGGAATAGTGTACTGTTCTGGAGGCAGCAGGTCAAATCAGTACATTAATTATTTATCCATTTGGCATACTTGTTTCAAAAATTTGTGTTATTATTATTACATGTCTTGATCTGGCCATTGTTAGTTGGCCCCAGCCAGGGGACAATTTTGTCATTTCCATGGAAACAGTGGAGGAGATGTTTCTGTTTGTCTGGCTCAGAGCTCTGGCTCTGAGGGGCAGCCCTGCTGGGTCAAAGACAGCAGAAAATCCCAAGATAAGCACAAGACTTGGGAGTCAGAAAACCTGGATTGGAGCCTGAGCTCCTCTACTCAGGAACCGTCATCTGTAAAATGGGATGATGACAACAGGAAGGATTTGCCATCACAATACCTGCACTGTATATGATGCCACTGTGCCTGACAAAGAAGAACCATTTAATAAATATTGCTTACTCCTCAGTACACTCAAGACTTCTTGAAAGCCCTCTAATTACTTTATCTTGGGGACCACAAAAACAAAGAGCAGTGTCTGTCACATTGTAAGATAATCTCTACTATAACAACACATTTGAGGCTGGGAATATAGCTCAGCAGCACAGCACCTGCCTGGCAAGCACAAGGTCCAGAGTTCAATTCCCAGTACCAAAAAAAAGAACAACACATTTGTGCATTCCTGCCCCATTAGATGGAAAGTTGTCCAGGAAAGGGCCAACCTCCAGCTTCTAGTACAGCAACAGGTTTAGGAAATTCTCAATAAATGCAGGATAAAGGAAAATTAAGGAATAGGATATGCAAGTGGAAACAACCTGGGCCTCACAGCATTATGCTAATTAGCTCATATTACTGTTTGTCTGAGAGAACCCAGTTTTCTTCAACTGGTAGTTTGAGCTTAAAGGTTAACACAGTGTTGTCAGGTCCAGTGTGCACTTCTGGATTCACATGCACAAGGAAATCTAGACATTCATAACTACCACAGAGGCCACCAAAAACCAGGTGACCACAACAGAGCCTGGATGGACTTTACCTTCCACCGAAATCAGTGTGCCAAGACACTGCACTGATCATCACAGCTTTTCTTCCCATGAGCCAGGCCTTGAGATTCCCAGGTGGTTAGTACAGATATATCCTTGCTAATCTGGGTGAAGAAGTATAAGCAATATCTCCATGTCTCATGATGTCTTCCAAAGCCATATGACACTGAAAGCCAGAACAACAGAGCCTTTCCCGTGAAGTGTTCCCAGCCAACCTCCCTTCCTACAAGGGGACTACATGGCTGGGCACGCTGGGACTCACACAAGGAGCTCCTGAGGGTTCTATGTTGCTCCCACTTTCTCCTGGCCTCCTGAGTAAGGAGAAAAAAAGTTGATCTCTTCTAGAGTTGAAAGTAAAGCTCTCTTGGTAGAATACCAGGAAGATTCTCAAACCACTATACCATCATAATGAAGGGAACCTCTGATAGATAGGTATAAACTCCACCAAGGAAATCATTCCAACCCTTATTTGCCCCATGGGGACGTCGGGACAGTCCCTAAAGACCAGCTCTACTACCTACTCCTCAGCAAAGGCTTCCCTGACCTGATGGGCCATGAGTGGCTTCTGAGTCCTTAGCCCACTCACCAGCAGTACTCCTCATGGGGCACTGATAGCTGTGACTCTGTACTAGTTAAAACTGTTTCCATAGGAAGTACCTTCTACTGCAAAGTACAGTTTTGCTATAATGGTTATTCCAGAAACACACAATTTTGTTCTAGTGTACTTATATACACTATGCTATGGTTTGTGTCTATATGTCCCCTAAAGGCTTTTAGCCAAATCCCATGTTGGGAATTAAGGTGTTGGGGGGCAGGTTTTTGATAGGTGGCTGAATCTAGAGTTTGTGATTGGTTCATGGTCCAATGCTGGGATTATGGGTGTGAGTGCTACACAGGCTAGTGAGGGTAGCCTGTATACAGTATAAGGAACAGAGTCTTCTCTTCCCCTTGTTTGATGTTTTCCACAACTACAAATGCCTGCCTCTCTGCCATGTGCCACCCTGCCCTGTAGCCAGCCAATTATGGACTGAAAACTCTACAAACTGTAAATGAAATAAATCTTTCCCCCTTTAACTTTGGGTGTCAGGTATTTTCCTTCAGCAACAAGAAAAGTAACTAAGATAGAATTTGGTACCAAAAGTAGGGTCACTGCTGTGATATTACCCTGCCCTCAAGTATTATCTCAAGAGCCTTTGGAGCCAGCTGTGGGAAAGAGAAGAGTTAGGAAGGGTTCAGAGATGCTGGCTGAAAAAGTAGAGGTGGAATGCCTGAGGCTATACTGTATGGGAGATTCTACTCAGAGCTCGGAAGACCACAAGGTCAGTAAAGACCAGGCTCAGAAGGTTTCTGCCGGGAAAAAGGACTATATTGGCTGCTAGACTCCAGATGACGTGTGTTATGCCTTGGTTGAAAGTTTCTCTGCATTTTGTTCATGTCCAGAGACTTTGCCTGAGACTGCAGAAGAAATTTCAAGGCAATCAAATGTTCAGGTGGTGGCATGGCGACATTGGGGGATTTTAGCCAAATCCCATGTTGAGAATCAAGAGCAAAGAGCTCAGTAGAATAATTTAAAACACTGTGAGTTTGGTCAGGAAGGAACAACTTCCAGTAAAGGAACTTCTAGGAAGGAACAACTTCCAGTAAAGTTGTAGACTGCAAAGATAGAGCACAGGAGATCTTGCTTGCTGAGAAGGAACAAGAGAATGGAAAAGACGGCCTGAGGACATCACAAGCAGCATCAGTACTCCACCCTTTGCAGCCTCAAAATTGCAAAACTGAAAGACCTTTTTTTCAGAAGACAGCCCCAGAACACCATGTTCCAGAATGATGGCAGCATAGAGAATTTGTTCCTCAGAATTGGATTAAGAGTGCCCAGTGATCCAGACACTCAATTCCTACAGCCAAGAAGCCTGGCTACTGCTCCAGCTGGCAGCAGACACTGGCATCATCCATGTGGCACTGGTTTTAGGTGCATGCAAAATGCAAGAGTTGTAGGATCAGGAAGGCTTCTGCTCCAATTTCAGAAGAAGGCCTGGGAGGCCAGGCAGTGTGCCCCTAAGAGGCAATAGTATGTGAAGAGAACAATATGTGAAGGTGTAAGTGGAGAGCTGTAAGTGGAGATGCCAGAAGTTTGGAAAATCCAAGAACATGGATCGTTTGAGGAAAATTGCAAGAAGAGAGCAGAGCAGACCCAAGAGAAAAGCCATGGGTGCTACAACCACCAAAAGTACCACAGGGATGAAGCCACCCAAGCCCTTTCAAGTTCACATCTTGCCATAGATTGCCTTGGATGCTGTACATGGAACTATAGGACTTAAATGTTTTCCTTACTGGATTTTGGACTTGCTTTGGTCCCATTCCTTTGTATGCTCTGTTTAAAATATCTCCCTTGTGCCATTGAATGTTGAAAGTATTTAACTTTCTTTTAACTTATACAGGGGCTCACAGCTAAGAGTATATCTTAAATCTCAAAGCAGACTTGGGACTTGGACTTTTCATCAATCCTGAAACTCTTAGGACTTTGGCAACTCTTAGAGATGGACTAATTGCCTTTTGTATAAAGCAATGTACATGAGCCTTTGGTGGGGAGGGCAGGGGCAGAATGTTATAGTTTGTGTGTAGATTTCTCCCAAAGCCTCATATAACCATGGGGGGCAGGCTTTATGTAGGTGGCTGAATCTAGAGTTTGTGATTGATTCATGGTCCAATGCTGGAATTATGGGTGTGAGTGCTACCGTAGCCTGAATACAATACAAGGGGCAGAGTCTTCTCTTCCCCTTGTTTGATGTCTTTGGCAAACACAAGTGATTGCTCCTCTGCCATGTGCCACCCTGCCTTGGAACCAGCCAATTATGGACTGAAACCTCTCCAAACTGTGAGCTAATTAAACCTTTCCCTCTTTAACTTTGGGTGTTGGATATTTTGCCTCAGCAATGAGAAAAGTAACAAAGACACAGTATTAGGGAACAATCTGAGTCCACTGCAAATTTTGCATTGCATCTGCTCACGTGCCCTATCACCCAACTGGAAACAGAGTGAACACAGAAAATAGCAGCCAGCGGAACACCTGCATGGGTACACACAAAACACACACACACACATACTTCAAACATCACATCTGATGTTATAGATTCCTGCCCCATTTCAGATGACCCTCTTTCCACTAATTCACAACAGCTTATAAGATTTCAAGGTAAGGTGCCCATGTATTGTAGTCTTATATATGTCTTAGCTATTTTACATGTGTAATATTGGGCCACTGTTCTTATTAGTTCCTTTGTTTTCTTTTCTGTATCACAGATGAAGTTTTTGAGTGCTTACCGCTATGCCCATTTCCCCCGTAAGTTCTGTAGTTTCTGTTATGCAATTTTGCACACTATAATGACTTCTAGGAACACATATTGTGTTACAGCAGAACTAACTGCACATTAAATGAGCCAATGTAATATACATGTGCTTTGAACAAGACTGGCATACAGTAGTGCTAGCTATCACCACCACCTCATGCTTCATGGAGGTGGAGACCACAGCACACAGCCCCTCTCAGGCAGTGCTTGGTGCCTTGCGATTGTATATTATGTTATAAAACATCTGTTCAACTGACTGATGGGTCAAAAATCACACTAGGTATTTCTTTGGAAATTGCCTTAAAGGGCTTTCATATGTATGACCAGTGACAAACTACTCATCCTCCATAACAAAACTAAGGAAGGAGATGTTCTATAAGAGATGTCATAGCACGAATCAATTCTCCCACCAATGGCCCCCTCTGCCCAGCCCCTCCTACCTTTAGAAAGTCAAAGTGTTTGAGCATCTGGGCCACTTTCTCAGCATTCCTCCCTTCATTGAGGAAGTCCAGCTCCAAAGGCAGGTTCTTCTTGGCTTCATCCACCAGCCACATAAACTCAAACTCTGGAAATAGCTGCTTCACAGCCAGGACAAGCACCTGAAATCCACAAAGTACCCCATCAGTCAGCTTACAACATACACAAGGGGCCAGCCCTATCCTCTGCCTGGGTCTCCCATGTAATAAGGGTAGGTAGAGAAACTGCCCCTGGCTCTATCTCTGTTCAAGATATGTCAGCCCAGCAGCCACCAGCAGTAACCATGACTCCCATTTGCTGGCTGCTCCCCATGTGCCAATCATCGGGGTGAGTGCATTATTTACTATTCCACTTAAGCCTTATAACAACTCCAGGAGATGCATGGACAACCCATTTTATCATCCTCACTTGTACTAAGGATGAGGAAACTGGGGCTCTCACTTGTACTAAGGATGAGGAAACTGGGGCTCTGAGAATTTGTGATTTCCTGAATTTGCCCAGCAAGTACATACAGAGCCAAAACTCCACTTGGGTCTACCCAGCTCCAAAGCCCTGGCTCTTAAGCATTTCACCATGCTGTGCTATTGCTGCTTGCAGGTTTATTCTTCAAGATCCCATCTGCAAACCCACAGAGGGGCTTTACCTATAGCTGTCATTCCTTTTTATTTATTAAGCCAAATGGTTATTACTTGAGCATTCATACCACAGGCTGAGCATCACTGATTCAAAAATATGAAATACAAAATTTTCCAAGTGCTGACATGATACCACAAATGGAAAGTTCCACACCTGACCTCATGGCTTGACTAGCTCATAGTCAAAGCATAGGCCCACGACAAATACTGTGCAAAATTATCATCAATCCCTGTGTGCAAAGTGAAGGAATTTTGTAAAATGTTGTCGGTCTGTTAGTATTTTCCTCCTTTAATTTCTAAAATTAAAAAAAAAAAAGTGAAGGAAAAACATAAATGAATTTTGTATTTAAATTTGACTTCCAGGTACAAGATATAACATTATGTATATGTATTTCTAAAATCTAAAAAATCTGAAACACCTCTTATCCCCAGCATTTTGGATCAGATGATTTGAAGTATACCTCTGTTATCTTCTATATTTTCCATAAAACATATTTCATAACAAACATTAAGTGGGCAAAAGAGAACAAACAGGCAGGACAACACAGAAGAGATAAGAGATAGGGATTTGACAATCCAGATTAAAAGCTTGGGCTTTTGGCAATATGGGCCCATGATGGATTCTTGAGTGATGGCATGAGGGAAAGGGAGGTTTGGAAGATGTATCTAGCACCAAGGTCTCAGTTTAATGCCACCCTAATTAAACATTAGGGGCAGAGAACAAAAGCCCAGTGAGGTGCACAGTGCACACTACAGCCACTCTGGGGCAGGGACCCAGCTTAAAGGCTCCCCCACAACTAGTGTCCTAAATGTATGATGATTTCATGAATTCACAGACAACAGCTCTGTGGTGAGTGTGCAAGGGTACTACCAGCAATGCAGGAGGTGCTCTACAATTCAGGAGGGAAACGCAGAAGACAACCTTCCTGCTCTCCTAAGCCCTCCTCTTGGCAATTCAAAGCCAGGTCTGGAAAGAACCACTGACTGACCATCCCAGTGATTCTCAGTATAGACTGTAGTTCAAGTTCTTCAAGAACACCCATCTGTATCCCTGGCTTGAGCAGACAGTAATCAGCAAAAACTAGAAAATCATAGGCCTATTGGTATCAGAAGACCATGGCCTTTCAACCTTTCCTGATGGATTTACTAAGCCACAGCTAAGAGCCTTGTCTATGTCTCAATTTGCAATGGACTCAGATATTATGCACATTGGGTCAGGCATACGTGATACAAAGAACAAACCTAAAGCAAAGCTATTAGCTACAAAGCTGTTTTTAAACCCTATGTCCTAGGTGATGTACCAGACACTATTATAAAAAAATCATCACACAGGGTTATTATGGTCAATTTCTAACAAAACCTTTTTTAATTACATTAGCTGTAGTCTAATTTCTTTTCACTCTTGTCTAGTCTCTCATGGGCTAGACCTGTGACCTTATGCCACCTGATTTCATTTGTTTTGTTTCTGTTGTGTCGCATGAAACAAGAAGGGAGAGGAAGCAGCAAAGAGGCCAGGGCCACAAGTGTCAGACACAGGCACCTGGACACAGCAGTCTCCAGCCATTACATCTCATCAGGTGTCCCCAGATGGCCCTCAGCTGCCACCAAAGCAGACGCAGGGCAGGCCCACAGCAAACAGCAGTGACTTGCGCAAACTGGCAGGTCCTTGAAGGCACTGGAATTCTACTCTCTGGGCATTAAGTTCAGGCAAAAAAAACTCTAGGGAATTTTGTTCCAGTCTAATTTCCAGAGGGCCTGGCCCAGGACAAGCAGGAGAAGAGCCATGATGAGGTTTCCTCTTTCAATCAATACTGCAGATTACCTGCAGGCAGCTGCCTTAGGCCAAACAGGGATATACACAGGGAACTACCTGCAGCACAGAAAGGTCCATGCCTTGGGGGACCGAGCTTCTGCCAAGCAATAATGCCTCATCATTTATTGTACAGTCATTATATTTATAAAATTTTTAATTATCATTAATATCCAAATAGCAATGAGAGGTACTTTAAAGATTTTTTTGTTACTAATCAATTATATAATTAGTCATTATTAATATTATTGGTTATTATTAACACCTCATGCCATTAATCATTAAAGTGATCACAGGCTTTATTGACTAATATTATTAGCTAATAACTAACCAGTAAATTAATTCATACCCAATAAACTCTACAGGACTCATAAAGCTAGTTTCTGAAGCATTTTGTAGGTGGTGAGTTACTCTCTGGGTTACAATAGCTCCCCCAACTATTTTTCACTGGGGATTGAACCCAGGGCCTTCACACTGAGCAAATCCCAGTTCTTTTTTATTCTGAGACAGGGTCTTGCTAAGTCCCTAAGTTGCCCAGGCTGGGCTTGAACTTATGATCCTGATCCTCCTGGCTCACCCCCTACAGTGCTGAGATTACACATATGCACCATCACGCCAGGCTTCCACAGCCCCTCTTACCCAAGAAGAATATTTCCCAAGACCCCCACTAGATGCCTAAAACTGCCAAAGATTTACCAAACCCTATATATATGTTTTCTCCTATACATACATATCTACAATTTATTTATAAGTTAGGTACACTAAGAAATTAACAAAAATAACTATGTAGATTATAACATACTGTAATTAAAGTCACATAAATGTAATCTCTCTCAAAATGTCTTACTGTATCGTTCCTACTCTGGCTGACTATGGGTAAAGGAGACTGTAGGTAACGAAACCGTGGTAAGGGAGCCTCCTGTCCTGGACAACAAGGCTGAAGTCAGTGGCTCTTGATAGTAGGTCACCATCTCTCATGGGAGAGTGCCAACTGAAAACCTGATGCCAGCCATGAAGCCCAGAAAATGTACAAACATATAGTTTTGCACCTAACTCTGGGGATTCACCAACTCCCTGGCATTTACTGGGTGACAAAGGAAGCCAAGCTACGAGTTACGTGGTCCAAGGGCTTTGGGTTGCTGCCACTTTATAGACTTTTCTTGGCTAAGTAGAGTAAAATAAAACTCCTTGGCAGAGCTTTTGTAAGTGGGAAGGGGAAGAAGGGCTGAAAGGAGGGGAGAAGAATGGAGAAAGAAAGACGCATCAAGATATATTATGTACAAGGACAAATTCCCTATGATGAATGGGATCATTATGTACTTCAAAGGTGTACCAATAAAATTAACTTTTTAAAACCTCCTTACAAATGTTCAGATTGGAAGGGAAATAAAGGAGGGGGAGGAGGAAAGGAAAGAAGGGAAAAGTAAAAAAAAATGAAATAAGAAGGAAAACATGGAAACAAAGCTTTTGTAAATAAGGAGGGGAAGAGGGATTGAAGGGAGGGTAGGGGAATGGGAAAAAAAGAATCAAGTTATATTACATACAGGTACAAATTCCCTATGATGAATGTGATCATTATGTATACCTAAAATGTACCAATAAAAATCACTTTCTTTGAAAAAAAAAAAAAAAAAAAAAACTCCTTAGGTTTACCTTCTGTTTTCATTCCCTTCTTAAGAGCCTGCCTTAAGTAGATTCACTTTGGTTTCTTTTTGACAACAGATGTAATCAACTAAAATAAAACAGGTGTTGTCAGAAATTTGCCTTTTTAAATTTTCTCCTGTATCTTTTCCATAAAATTCTTCCAACAGCCATTGTTTTCATCAATACCTAGCTCATGCTCAACACTCCACAGATGTTCACTGGACACTGACAGGAATAAGTGGATAAATAAATGAACACATGAATAGTTCAAGGGGTTTGTTCCCTCTCTGAGACAACTATATGCTCATATCTGTGTTACTGGGATAGACAGGTTTTTGTTCTTCAGATTTGGGGGATTACCTCTGAATTTAGGGGAACCAGAGTTTCAAAATAACTGAGAATTTGCCACTAAATTCTGGAAACTTATGAGTCAATCAAAGTATATTCAATAATTAACACTTCCTTCAAGGTAAAGTAATGAAACTTTTCCTATAGAGCAACTGGCCCACAATAAGAAAAAAATCAATTGTGAGCCACACAAAAACACAACAGAAAGATGAAAAGTCACAACAGAATCTTGAAAGCTAGTGCTCATAACTTACAATTGCAAAAAAAAAAAAAAAAAATAGAAACGAACATTATTTAGTTCCTAGTACATACCAGGCACAGCGTCATGAGGCATTTTATGTACATACTCTCATCTAATCATTTTCTTGCCCATTTTACAGAGAAGGAAACAGGTTCTGGGAGGTTAAAACACAAACAGTACTATAGTTTGGAACTGTCAAGACAGGATCTGGACCCAGGTTTTTCTTGTTCTTTCTTTATGCAGCCCTGCCTCACGCAATACAATGTAGGATAACACAATGGGAAGCTAAGATAAGGCAGAGAAAGAGCTTTGCAAATTGTAAAATGCAACTGAAATGTAAGTTGCTGTTATCAAGTTATTGCATACTATAAAAGAAATAATGTTCTATGGAAAAGCAGCACATAAATAGAATGTCTGCACCAACCCAAACTAGTAAAAAATAGA